CTTGCTGCTGCTACCGTGGCACTGGCTTTGCTTCATTTGAGCATAATGATGCCCCTCACGGTTACATTTTTCAAAGGAAACTAAACAGAGGCAATGCTCTTACACTTGAGGGATGTAGAATACACAAGATTGGACGCTACTGCCTGTGAGTTAAAGCATATATTGCTATAGTTATCATTTTAGAGAGTGCAGTGCACACAAAAGCTATGTGTTTATTATGATTCTGCAGGCATATATATTATAGGTACTGCATATGTGCCACAAATCACTTTGTACAAAAGAGGTGTGAAATATACATGTTGCTTGTGGAAAGTTATTGTGTGCGCTAAGTCCCATTTTCTGATTGGGATTTCTGAAATCTATTATAATCTTCTGGGACCATTGACATACAGATGTGGTTGAACACTGCACAAATGGATGTCATGAAGTGCATGCCTGTAAGGACTTCATTAGACTGGTACTCTTACTATCCACACTAAGGTGAGAAACTCAAGCTTCAAGAGACAAAACAACTTTCTAAGGTCTCAAAGCCCATATGAGGCAGTGCCGCATTTCAAGCCAGGAATGCCTGACTGCAGAGGCTGTTATTACATGCTACTCAATGCTGCATTCACCGATCATCCTCATATCTTGGTTTTGCTTGTAGTTCAATTCAGGTTGATCTAAGGCTCTCATGATAGATTACTGAAAATTAATGGAATATTTGCAGACAGCCAAACTGTGAAACAAAATATACTTCATCGATGAGGTAATTTTTATATTCTAATTAAAATTCATTTATATATCTACATATCTCAGAGAATATTTTCAAATGGCATTACATTTAAAAGCTTACTAATGGATACCTGTTAAACACAGCCCATTTTAAGTGACATGGTTTTTCATTTTTGTTTAACTTTTGTTTTAATGTAAACTCAGCTCATTGCCATCAAGTTAATTCTGACTTTTAACAGTCCTCTAGGCCTGGGTAAAACACACACTTAGAGTTTCTAAGACTGTAGCTCTTTACAGGAGTAGAAAACCACATCTCTCTTCCTGGGAGCACCTGGTGGTTTTGAACTGCCGATGTTACGGTTAGCAGCCCAACATATAACCACTATACCACCAGAGCTCTTTGTTTGAATGTACAGCAACTACAAATTTCCATTCACGAATTGAAGCATGCCATCACTGTGGTTTCGTTTGTGTATAAAACTCAAACTCACTGCCATCGAGTCAATTCCAACTGACAGCAATCCTTTCAGACAGGCTAGATTTACCCTGTGGGTTTCCAAGATTGAAACTCTTCATGAGAGTAGAAAGCCTCATCTTTCTCCCTACTTATATATGTGTCCTTCAATTAAACATTGAGCCCCTATCCCACCATGAGACCCTCTTTGCCCTGTTCTCCAAGATTCCACCCATTTCAGGGCATTGTGGTAGCACGGCAGTACTAGAAAGGACTACTGAGCACCCATATTTGATCCTCAAGTGTTGTCAACAATGCACCCCAGTGTCCTGGGAGCTGTCCTGGCTTCTCTTTCACATTCAGTCATTAGGTCACAGAGAGCACTGTGACCTTCCTCCATGTCCAGGTCACCGCGCTGCTCCAGCTCCTGCATATGTCCTCTCAGGGCTCGCCGTCCCTTCTCCAGGGCTCATGTCCTCTTCTGGAGCACACAGAAATTCAGAAAAGCAGTCTACAGCTCTCTGGGTAAACCACTAGGCAGTCCGCTCAGCTCTACTGCCCCTATGTGATAGAGATTGGGCATGAAGTGTTAATATGTTTATCTAGGGAGTTTATCCAGAAATAAGTCCTCTCATGGCTGACTCTTATTCCAGCCCTATCTCCAAATTCAGTCCAGGGTTGAGGATACAAGGCCACATCTTAAGAAATCTATCAGCATTCAAGCTTTTGTAATTTAAGTCCACCCAAGAAAACTTTTCTAGTCTTAAATCAAAAGCCTCACTGCCATCCATCCAGTGAATGCTGACTCATAGCAACCTTAGTCTTTGGAGGGCAAAATACTGACTTACATTAAAAATAGATTCTTCCAAATGTGCTATTTTTGTCAAGATTCTAGGTCTTCGATGGTGTTTGATTCTTTATCACCTTTACTTTCCTGTGTTTTTCTTTTCAAAAAAGGAAAAGTAGAATTTTTTTTTTCAGGTTAACATTTTATTTAGACCAGTACAAGCACCATGCTTTAACAAAAGACTGTCTGAAGTAAACATGCAATATGAACTAGCAGAGACTGAAAGAAACCACAGCAGAAGTTGTGCCAGTTGCTAAGTTTGATAAACGCTGACAGGGAATTGTTAAAATTCACAAGACTGACCATTCATGTTTCAAACCTCCTGAATGAGATTATATTGGACCGTCGAAATCATTGAGAACTGCCCTGATGTTAGTGATTTCACACAAAATTCAAGTAATTAACTACATGTGCATGAACAATATTCCAAAAAGCAAAACAAAATCCCCCCAAAACCACCGTTTCTATCACAACCTTAATGTAGGTGTTTTAAATATTACAGGATCAGCTCATGGACGTGAAATGTCGAATGGACTAACAGGAAACAGATTTGGGGACATCGGTTTTACACGGCCTAGAGTATTAGGCACATTCTTGCAGAAATACAAAATAAGATTGGATTGGGAATGTTTAAGACATTCCTTCACATAAGTTGTAAAGTCTCCGATTCTGTAAAGATTCCAGTATCACCAACTTATTAAAACAAATAGGGAATGCAATCATATCACAATTTGAATTGATAGGGTATGAGTTACTCTCTACTTCCACCGACTAGCAGCATTTCTTGAAACTCTCATGAGAAGATTATCTAGTATCTACTCATCACTAGTCCACACGACGGATTAATGACATTGCCTGCATCTTAAAAGTATCTTTTTTTTTTTTTTAATATGCCCTCTTTCCTTCCTTCCTTCCTATCGATTTGGGTGGAGGGAAAAACAGCCAAATTTAATTTGGCAATAAACTCCTCTAACTGGAATTTTTTAGGTAATTGTCAGACCAGGGTGCAGTTTACGGCTCCATTTGACTCCTGAAAATAGGAGGCAGAATGGGAGGGAAAGTGCTGATGGGCATTTTGCGATATAAAGGCTATTTAGTAACGACAATAAAAAAATTTTTTTAGCAACACCCTCCTAAACATGAGAATGTTTAACTGCACTAGGCATTTTGTAAACTTTTTAGAAACAATTTAATCGTGTTAGGAGTCAGTTAAACAAAGATAGTCAACCAACTTTTTTTCCTGACAGGATTGCTTCAATACCAGAACAAAGTGGATACTATTCAAAACTCAGACAACATTTTGGAATTTCAGCATAGTGACCTGAGAACAGTTTCTTCATAAGCCATTTATGTTGCCACTGAAAACATACTGTGCTTGCTAGCTGGCTCCGGTCTGACAACCGTAGATGTTATGCAGACCGACGCGAGGCCAATGGTTTCGGCCTTAAGAGTTGATTCAGAAGACCCTGAGGAGGCTCCCAGGACCAAATGCTGCTGCCCAAAAGGAAAGAGTACTTAGGACTTAAGACCAAATGGGAATAGTTGGTACTTGAAGACACAGAATGTGAAAACTGGCATTTTCAAATGTGGGGTTACTACTACTGGAGAGAAGGCAAAAAAAAAAAAAAAAGTTGTTCAAATAGGAAAGACATGCAGAATTTGATCAGATAAAAGGGAAATTTACATAATATTTGGGAATACTTATTAAGCATAGGATTTATAAATCTCCCTGCAGGACATTTAAGAGTACATTAAAACAAAACAAAACTCACTGCCATGGAATCAATGCTGACTCATAGTGACCCTCTCTGGGTTTACGAGACTAACTGTGGGTGGGAGTAGAAAGCCCAGTCTTTCTCCCATGGGGCTGCTAGTGGTTTTGAACTGTCAACCAAGCAGCTCACAGCCCAACTCTTAACCACTCTATCACCAGGGGTCCTTAATAGTACATAGAGAGGGAGTTAAAAAAAAAAAGATTCTAATCCCCTAGCCTCAATCTCTACTCCTGCAGATTACGTTTCTGAGGAGAGGCTAGCCAATAGCAGAACCTCGAGCTCTGTGCAAGGCAGGTGACGTATCTCACATGATGGGCGACAAACATAAAAACAAAACCAGAAAAAACCCATGCATGACAAAATGAGGAACCTCATTAAAAGGTACATTCTTATGGAGCTAGTCAATTTCTCTTACTGCTGTGACCAAGTGAAATAAAATCTTATTTCCTTCATTCAAAAACATTAAAAAACCCCATTCACTTGGGTTACATTTGCTTTCTATACAATCCTAGGCAAGTTATTCTCCGATAGCAAAATACGTTTTTAAAATACGTTTGAAGTTTGGTCCCTCTCTGGAAACTGGCATAAAGACTCATCTCCATCTATTAACCAAAATAAACACCCCTCTACCACCACTCTCTGAGCTCCAGCTGTTGCTTCCTCAGCTCAAGATTAATTAGTGAAACCAAGTAGCACGTCACAGAGACGTGCTGAGACAAAGGAGGCTCTCTTCAATCTTGTAAAAATTCCAACCATCCTAACCTCTTTATTACAGTTGGCACAAAAACCTCAAAAAGGATGCAGTGAACGTATGAATAGAACATAAGCCAACATAAAAAACAACTGTTATGTCTAAAATAACAAAAATATTTTACTATAAGAACTCACTCAACTTATTTGGTTAGTCTCAAGACTACCTATTGTTAAATTAATGTTAAGCAGCTACTTAACCTTTTTTTTAAAAGTATGCTCAGATTAGAAGAATCCTTGCCTTATGATAAGGATGTCACTATATATCAAGATTAGTTAATTATTCAGGTGTCTACTTTAAAATATCTTCTGACATTTAGAATATAAGCTACAGATTCCATTGATGTTAATATTAACTACGGTCAAAGTTATAAGTAAATTTTCCCCATGGCACAAACTTAATGAATACAACTAAAATTATAACTACGACTGCCAAATATACACTGATGCATGCAGGTAGTTTGGATTTTAAAAATATGAAGTTGATTTTATTATAAATTTCAGGTTCACACATTAGAAAATTATTTTACTTGGACCCTTTACAAAAGTAATTTCACCAAATCTGGAATATTGGCAGTGTAAAAGTCTTAAACTAACTGTAAAGCTACCAAATCACAGGCACGAGATGAACCCATTGAAAAATAACTAGTGTTCACAGGACAACATTAGGAGATGCTTTGTAAATCAAATACTAACCTAGGTTCAAAATTATCTAAAAAGTACATCATCAGAAATGAAGCCCTTGATTAGGTATAACCCACCAATTAAAAAGACTAAGACACTACTTTCCATAAGAAAACCTAGGAGTCATTATCATAACTTTATCATAAAATCTAAGACTTTAAGATTGATTGATGAACATAGTTTCTAGACTTGATTTTAAAAAGGTGTGGAATCATTTTTTTAAAATGTTGTATTGTAGATTAAATCATAGGACATCCATGGCTCAAAATTAGATTACTCAAGTCATTAACCCTAAATTAAGTCCAAAGGTTCAGCAAGTGGTAATATATTATTTTCATATATAAACTGCTAATATCCAGTATTTGTCAAGGAGGCAACTGTTGTCTCATCACAATCTAATAGCCACTTTCCAATGGTGTCTGTAAATAGTAACAAATTCAGAACCCTAAGTTATAGAAATTAGTCACAAGAGTGCAAAAGTCCCTGGGGAGGAGGATCCACCTAACGCTTACAAATAGAAGGAAATGTTTTACAAAGTTCCATGACTATGAAGATAATTTCGTCATGTTCAAACTCTGCACAAATGAAGATTTTTCTTTACTGTAGGAAACAAACTGTAAATAACAGTGCATTTTCAGGCATAAATAAGTATTTATGTCTGGTTCCAGTATGTATGATCAGGTTAATACATAAATACTTTAGAAACACAGAAGTTCACATTAGTGGAAAAATCCAAGTTTTTCCCGTAACCATTCTTCAGTCAGGTCTTCAGTATTTCTTATTTCAAATACCTTGGTGAGTTCAGCTGTTTGGATTAGCTTATTCTTACTCCCAGCATACATCATCTGCTGTTCACGCTTACATCCAACAGGACTGGAGAAAATAAAGCATAGAGGATATGAAACTCTGCCGTCATCATGTTGATATTTATAACTATATACAATGAAGCGAGGTTGTCGTTCAGGTAGTTCATCTTTACGTTCATCAGGTGAAATGCCCTCAAGCTCCTCATCCAGTACCACCAGGCGTTTATCCTTGTCAATCTTCATTATAATGGCAGCATTGTTCGTTTCTTTGCGAAAACGAAACTTTCTTAGCTTTTCCACTAAATCTTCAGCAACATCACAAACCACCAAAGATTCACTCATTTTCCTTCCGGCCGCCGCGGGCTCTCGCCTCCCCTCGGGCCCCTTTAAGAATGGCGCGGCAGCCGCCTCCCTTCCTGGCCCGGCCTGCCGGAAAAGTAGAATTTATCGGCTCTTTGAGTTTGAGAAAGGTTTATGGAATTTTAAATGTTCCAGGAGAATGGGGGTAGAGAGGATCATAGTAAATACTTGAATATACTGCATATCATGCAAGAAAAATTATGCTTCGGTTTGATATAAAATTTATGACTGTTACAAAACTTTGAAGTACATGATATTCTAAATTTTAATCCAGGCTAGATGATAACTAAATTGAAGCAAAGAGTAGAACAGCAAACTAGGATTCAGAAGATCAGTCTTGATAGAGGTAGTGTGTTGTCTAGCATTATAATGTACTGGCTCCTTTTGATTCTCAATAGTATGTGTCCCTGCTGTCCCAGTCCATCATGAGAAAAGTTGTTCACGAATACGTATTCTTGTGCTTTTTAATGTGTATCAATCACATTGCTCTTTTCCCATTCTATGGCCAGTTGGTTGCAGCTCAGTATTGACCGCTGCACTATTGACGCTCCAGTCGGTGATTCCATCTTTCTGAAGATGACCAGCCCTTCACCGGTGCTTTGTTTCCACTCCAGGTTTGCCTGTTCCTGCACTCACCCCTCACTCTGAACACCCCACCGCTGGGGGGGGGGGGGGGGGCTTCATGTCTGCTAGGGGACAACCTCTCACAGCTTTTCTGTGGGAAACTAACAGGGAGGGAACTAGGACTAGGACTTCTTCCCTAAGTTATCACAGAGGGAATCTCTCAAGGCATTAATTATTGAGTGTCTAATATGTGCCAAGTCTTTTGCAAGGCACTAGCAATATAAAAATAAATTAAAGAGACTTTTGAATGTCTCTCTGGGGTATAGAAAACTGGAAGGAGCATTGTTCCTATTCTTATAGTAAAAAATAATTAGATTAACCTCATTTGTGACTTTTCCTCCCCAATGCAACAGACATAAGATTTCACAAAAAGTTACTGGTCCCAAATCTAAAGAGATATAGGCAGGTTCAGTGAAATGGGAAATGTGAGCTCTCACTTAGCTGGGACGAATGCAACCAGACACCAATAGATCTAGTTTATAGTGGATAAAGGTGAAGGTCAAGTATGGGCCGAAAAACAGTGTGAAGGCCTTGAAGACTGCATTTGGAATCGCTGGGAGACTACACAAATGGGAGGAATTTGTATTATCTTTGAAGTTCTCTCTCCAATGATCCTGTGGGCTAATAGTAACAACATTAAAAAGAGCTCTAAAGCAATGCCTGTTGTGGTTCAGAATTGTGGGAGGAAACCAGCAGCCACGTTAGAAAGATAAGAAACCCGATTTAGATGCTATCACCCTCTGGAACAAAAGCCGTAATCTGCCGAAGGTAAGACAACAAATGGCCACACTCATGCCAATGGTGACAAGCACTGCCACAGAGGAGAGAAAATAAACATGCCTCCTGAAGAGCAGAACCCAGGCTTAAGGATTCGGTAAAATATTGTAGCTAAAGTTTATGGCATGTTGCTTTGGAAGAAGCAAGTTGGAATGTCCATAAAGAACAAAAAGCATCTATAAAAGATTAAGGAATGCCCCAGGAATAAGGGTTAAGAATTAAAATTGCAAACACAAGTAGATTTCAGATATTGAAGAATGTTGTCTTTTAGGCCAGGGAATCAGGACTATCCAAAGGCTTTATTCTTGGAAATTATAAAGGTGACATTCAGTTTTAGAAATATTTCAATAGTGGTATGAAGAGGTAAATGAAATAGCACCACATATCTAGTTGTTAGCTTATTGTTTATTCTCTCCAATTTAACTTTTATCTATAATAGTTTATGATAGTAATTTTTAGTCATTCTTAGAGAGGATTAAAGAAACTACTTGATCCATTTCAGTTACAGAAACATCTGAAGTCTTTAAATGTCAATATATTAATCCTCTCCCCACAATGAAGTAGTCCCCAAGAGTCTATCCCTCACAGTAGAAAACACATTTGAAAGTTCAAATGTTATGCCTCATTAATATGTCAAAATGATAAAACTAACATGATCATTCTGGGAGGCAACAAATGTTTATTGACTACCCAATGGGTGCCAAGCACATTCTAGATATTTCTGATTTGATCATGGAAAATACAGGCCTTTTTTTTCCCTTTTAACCTTCATGCAGCTCATATACTATATGACTCAACATTAAGAACTGAATATTTTATCAAACTTTTATGCTGATGATACCTTGATATGGTATTATCTGAATATTTGAGAGTAAATAAAACATAATACTAAGATTATCTAAGTACTGCAATAAAAATATGACTTCATTTTTGTACCATACTGCTATCTTTTATATATTAAGTTAAACAAAAATTAAGTCATTGTATTGTATTAAAACTAGTATTGAATTTCAAAACAAATAGCTAAATTAAATCTCACAGTGTGTTAGAAGATGATAAGGATTATGGAGAAAATTTAAGAAGGATAAGTAGAATGGATCATTAGTCTCAAAAAGGCCAATACCAGCCCTGTATGGTAGTTCAAGTTGAAGCTTAACAAAAATCAAAGCAGCAAAGGCACAAGAGTTAAAGTACAACTTTGAATGTATTCCACCTAAAATTAAATCATTGAATAGAGGATTAAGAATAGATCATTGAACACTAACCCAGAAGGGTTATAGAATAACAGCAAGGGCATTTCACAGGAAGGAGTTAAGAGGTCATTAAAAAGAAAAGAAAAACCATAATCCATAATAGAAGACACTTTGAAACTGATTCTTAAGTATAGAGCAGCTAAAATAAACACAAGAAGTAAACTGAAATAACTAAACAGAGCATTTCAAGGTCAGCTCAAAAAGACCATGCAAAGTATTATTACTTTTAGTCACATGCAAAGACCTGGAGTTAGGCAGCCCAAAAAGGACACAATTGACATTTTTCAAGCTCAGAGAACTGAAGAAGACTTAAATTACCAATACAGAGAGCTTCCATTGGCAAAACACTGAATGATGAGAAGCATGATATTCAGTAATTGCAGGTGATAAAATATGATAAAAAACACTAATTATAAAGGAAGAAGATCAAGCTCCACTGAAGCTTGAAAAACAATATAGCATGGGGAAAGGAAAGATCTTATCGGGCTGCTGGCCATTATAAGGTGTTTGGCTTTTATCTTGAAAGACAGGGCACTATTGGAATCTTATAAACAGAATAATGGCATCATTTAGCTTATATTTTAAGGAATAGCTAGCTTCTGTATTACAAATAGCTCATATTTGGAAAAGCAGCAAGAACAGAAACAGGAAAACTAATTAAGAGGCCATAATAATAATTTAGGGAAAATACAATGTTGACTTAATCACAAGAGGGAGATAGGCTCAGAAGCTGAGGGAAGTGGTGTGGATTAGAGTCAGCAAACTTTCCCTGTAAAACACCAAATGCAAGATAGATTAGATTTTGAGAGCCATTCAATCTCCGTGGTCATTATTCAACTCTCTGTAGATAAATAGAAAGCAAACTCATGGATATTTTCCAATAAAATTTTATTTACCGAACCGGAGCAGAGCAACTCTGGGCTGTAGACTCTAGTTTATGTTGTGGGGCCCATTGTCGCAGCCACTGTGTCATTTCACCTCCTTGGGAACCTCCCTCCTTTTTTGGTGTCTTTTTACTTCACTAAGCATGAAGTCCTTTCCGAAGGACTACTATTTTCTGATAACATATCCAGCGTACATGAGACACTCACTTATCTAAGCCAAAAAAATTATGAAGACAGATACCTGGCCAATCAGCTCTAGGAGATCCATATTTGTCCCCATTCCAAAGAAAGACGATCCAATATAATGCTGAAATTATCAAACAATAGCACTAATATAAAATTAAGTAAATTTTGGAAGAATATAATTTTAAAGTAGTTATAGCAGCCGTTGATGGGGAGTTGCCAGAAATTTAAATCAGATTCAGAGAAGATGTAAAATGAAGGATATCATTGAAGATATCAGATGAATCTTGCCTGAAAGCTGACAATACCAGAAAGATGTTTACTTGCAATATATTGACTATACAATGGCATTAGACTGTGTGGATCATAAAAAAAAACTATGAACAATATTTTGAAGAATGATCATTCAAAAACACTTAATTATGGTCATGCGGAGCCTGTCTGTAAACCAAGATTCAGTCATTTGAAAAGAATAAGTAGATAGTACATGGGGTTTTTTTGTTTGTTTTTTAAACATTTTATTAGGGGCTCATACAACTGTTACCGCAATCCATACACACATCAATTGTGTAAAGCACATTTGTACATCATTCTCAAAACATTTTCTCTCCACTTAAACCCCCGACATTAG